GACGTGTCGACCCATCTAGACAGCCTCTTCTCGAGTTGACAGGTTTTACCATGATGGCTTGACGAGCTTGCTCCAGCTTCACAAGAGTTCACAGGTTTCACCAGAGTGAGACTTGTAAACCGGAACTAGTGAAGCAACGAAAGTGCAAAATGCCCCCCTCCCCCCCTCCCCGTCGCCGAACTGCGCCGACTGTCATTGGCGACGAATTTTCGACCAAATCTAGTTGTCTCTCCGCAGTCTGGACGAATTTCGATAAAATTACGGCCCTGATTGTGAGGGAAAATAGTGAAAAAACATATACTTCCAGGAGATTACGCCATGGATGCCTTGTTCGGCATGTTGCATGGCAAATTTCGCAAAGTTGCCTCACTTGTTACGAGGGGCCCAATAACTCCTTTTGAGTCTTGGCTTTCTAGTTTTCCTTGAACCCTTCAAACAGAATAGTTGAGACCATTTGCATGGAAAGATTGTTAAGAAAAAGAATCGCGACATTCTCCGTGTTTTTTGTTTTTTTGTGCCGCTTGTCAATCTCGTGTCTACAACTGGAAAAACTGTTGCCCTCCTTCGTTTGCGTAAAGCAAAGGCGGTCGCTGCAGTTTCACTAGACGCATTTCTCAATCGTTCATATTTGCTTGTTTCTACCTCAAAAAATGGAGCATTCGAAATCGTCCCCCCTCCTCCCTTTCTGGGTTGTGTCATTCCCTTTTTCAAATCGGGATCGTAAAGGAATTTGAATACGCTCAAGATAAATTCAGGTCTTCATCTCGAGGAAAGTACGGTGCGAAGTCCGTTTCTCCGGAGAGGTGGAAGGTGTGTTTGTGGCTCTTAGATCTCGCCTTGACTCCTGGGGGGGGGGGGTTGGAGGGTCGATCTAAGATTCAACCAGCGGATCGTATGCGTGCTTGTCGTCGCCATTTACCACAACGTTCCTAAGCTTGTACAAAGATTACATAGAAGAGAACTCTTATATAAATAGGATACGTAGCTATTCAAATGCCATTCCAATCCTGAATAGAAATCAGTGCGTGGCGTATCCCCAAAGGGTTCATTAAACCCTAACCAACCTATAGTTTACCCAATTTTCGATCTTTTCCCCATTGATTTAATTTTCGTGTTTTCAGGAGAACATCTTCTCAACAATCTTTCTCTATTGTGAAAAAGCGAATAAAATACTTTTACGATATCAACTTTGATTTTTTCGTTTTTTAGGAAGAGTACAACGCTGCTGGACACCTTATCCTTCCTGATAAATCATTGTTGGAGGAATACGTGAAGAGGTGAGGGCTACAGATCTTTTTCACCGTAGTTCTTCTAATTTTAACTGTTTACTTAATGTTTACTCTCACTTTTTCTTTCTATACAACTTTACTTGTAAGTTTTTCGACATGGTTATCAATTATTGGAGGTATAATAAGTATCTTTGTCAGCCAAAGATTAAGTTAGCGATCGAACGGCGTTCATCACAATGTTGAAAACAGCCGGGAACAGGTGATAGGTCGAAAAAGTGGGTAAAAGAGCAGTTTAACATTCATGTGCTCTTCTTCGATTTTTCACCTCAGTCCATCCTCACCTTGTCATTTTGTGACACTTTGCAAAAGGCTCGACGGAGCAGTTAGGCGACGGGGGGCATTTTGCACTTTTGCTACTTCCCATCGACGTGTCGAGCCATCTAGAGAGCTATTTCATGAGCTTACAAGAGTTGACAGGTTTTACCATGGTGGCTCGACGAGCTTGCTCCAGCTTCACAAGAGTTCACAGGTTTCACCAGAGTGAGACTTGTAAAACGGAAATGGTAAAGCAGCAACATAGCAAAATGCCCCAACTGCCCCGGCTTGATTATTTCCATCGAGAATGCGTGCATGGCGCACCTTAAAACTCGACTGACACTTGCGATTTTGTCTTTTTTTTGATGTTTCTGGTTTAATATCGAGTGCAATTTTGTTTACCGTCGTGGGTTGCCCTTCTGGACTTACTGCTCTTTGTAATTGTTTTCTGATCCGAGCTTACTGGAGTTCAAATGCGTCACAGTAAGTTATAGTAATAGTAATATCAGTCCCTTATGATATCAGTCTTATTCATTGGACTATACAGCTTTCGACCTGCAGGTGTCTCCTAATAAAACAGCGCTGTTCGGGCTTGGAGGGGGCATTTTGCACTTTCGCTGAATCCTTTTGAAGGTTTACGTTAAAATGCAGGGCTTACTCCAGTGAAACCTGTTAACTCCTGTGAAGTGCAAGATCGCACGAAATAATTTTTCCTGGTTATTGACTTTTCGCATGATTTTTCCTGTTTCATGTGTACTGATCCCCCGCTAGACGCGAAACCTCTTGGAGTGCGGAAACTGGAAAATGTGGAACTTGGTAGGTAGGTGTTGGTGAAGGGTGAGTGGGTCGTTGACCATGACCCCCATTTAGGTGGGGGGGGGTCGTAACTACAGCACCACTACACACATCACGATGCTGTACCCTGAGCCCAAAGCGCGCAGTGTTTCCAACTAGTCAATTCGGCTTGCTACAGCACTTTCAGGTCAAGTCACTTACCTTTAGATACAGCTGCCAGTGCCGCTCATTTGGCGCCACTTCCAACGCCACACTCAACAGTTCCTATCTTCCGATGAGCACCCGTTTTCCAATACTCGTTTATTTGAAAAAATAGTGGCAGTGAGTCAACCGGAGAAGGCATTTTAGCTGTAGTTCCGTTAAAGCCGTCAAGCGACGTTTTGCTGATAGTGAGACGGATAACAGGTGTTCGCAAGCCGTAAAACCAACCCGAGCAGGATCATGTGCGTGGTAGCGCTCCGTCGTGGTATTGCGACGCAAGCCATATGGCATAATAATCGCAAGCAAGCAGTCATTCCTCTGAATTTCAGGGCCTTTAGTCTAAGTGAACCCTAGGAAAGCTCCATCGCTTTCGAAACGGACGAGAAATCAGGGTAAAAGTATTTGGAGGGGTACAGGGGCGTGAAACGCCACGTCACATCTACTTTCTGGTCTTATCTTCTCTTGCCATCTCTATTCGAAGTCTAAGATAAGTACAAATGCCGCTTCCCTGATCCACGGAGGGTACAGACGGTCAGACATGACGTAGTATAGTCGCTGGCATCCCCAACTCTTTTCGTTGCACAACATTTTCGCTCATCGAAATCGCTAACAAACGGGGAAGGTCGCGATCCGAAAGTAGCAAACTATAAACAACATAGAAACAGGTTACTGTACAAAATACCATCTAGCTGAGAAGGCAAGAGCGGCCCTGATGGAGTAGCGGGTAGAGCAGTTGCTGGGTTAGCAGAAGATTCGGTTCGAGT